TTAATTCTTTCAAAGAACCAGCTCCTAGTTTCGTTGATCTGTTCTACTATTCTTTGGTTTCTATTTCATTGATTTCTGCTCTGATCTTTATTATTTCTCTTCTCCTACTGGGTTTAGGCTTTATTTGCTATTCTTTCTCTAGCTCCTTTAGGTGTAGCATTAGGTTGTGTATTTGAGGACTTTCTTGTTTCTTGAGAAAGGCTTGTATTGCTATATACTTTCCTCTTAGGACCTAGGCCAGGTTCTTTTCATTACACTAAGCTGTAAACACATCTCCCTCCGAGGTTTCCCTACCCCCATTTCACCCCACCCTTCCTGGAAATGTATTCACTGAGACTTTCTCCCCGTTTCTGCTTTTGGATTTTGCTGAAGAATGTCCCTCCTGGTCAGAAGCTGAACATCTGCTACAATTCCCAGAAGCGACCATTCTACAACCTTGACTTTATTAAGAGGAAAAAGTGACCTTGACATTTTCATTGCCTTTTACCCAATATTAGCATAAAACTTTGAACTTCCATTTCTAAACAGCCATGCTAGTTCCACAGCTTCACATTTCCCCCAGATCTCCATGCCTCCTGGAATAGAATCTTAGATAGGATTCCCACTGATGAGTTTATCACAATGTGTAGAAACACATGATCTGTGTGGAGGAATGAACGTCCCAATGAATCGCTAAACACCTCAAGAATGCACTTCATTTCTTGCCCAGCAAGCCAACAGTCCCTTATATAATATATAAAGTTGTGCTATCCAAGACAGTAGCCACTAGCCTCATATGGCTATTTAAATTAAAATTAAGTAAAATTAAGTAAAATCTAAAATTCACTTCCTCAATGGCTCAATAGCTACATGTGGCTAGTGGCTATTACCCTAGACAGCACAGATATAGAACACTTCTATCATCACACAAAGTATACTGGACAGCACTGACAGAGGCTACTTATGAATAATACTATTTTGTGAAATGGTGACTAAAAGCACAGAACATAGGTAATGAGTAACCAGTACTCCCTACAAATCCACTAAAATGACTTGTCTAGGAAATGAACGTCACACTCTTCCAGCACTTGGATCAGATCTGAAAGCACATTTTAGCTTTATGGGTAATTTGGTTCCTTACCAAAAATTTCTTTTTCTCACTGGCCCCTGCACATGAGCTTGTTGTTACTGTGGGGCTGTTCAGAAGGGCTGAGCTGCTGCTGTTGTGTTTTTTCTTTAAAAACAAAAAGACTGAGGTTAATAATTTGTACCCTCCATGCAACAGAAAAAATTTGATGATATTCAAGTAAATTGTGGGTCCTCAGAGCCAGTACCTCTTGTTAAGATTACTTCCTAACCAACAGGCAATCCTTTTTCACAGCCTTCTTCCTTCATAACCATGCACTTTACTTTAATAACACAGCAGCAGACACAGTACAAGATCAGGACTTTTCTTACAATAGCTTTTACGTTCTAAGCAAAAGGATCTCTAAAAGGTAATCTCCCTTCAAGGAATGATCAGGGACCACCATGCCACCCTCCTCTTCCCAGCCTTTGGGTCTTCCAACTCAAGAAAGCTTCCCCTTTTCACCTAACTGATATCCACGCTAACAGCCCCATTTGGAGAAAGATCAGCTGACTGGAGCAGCACACTCCACATAGGAAGACAGGAAGGAAAGTGAGGTCATTAGGCTCAAGCCTGGGGGAGGGGACTCACTTCTGGTAAAATGTTCCTTCCAAAAGCAGCTTTGAATAGGAAAGAGTTACAGCAAGGCAGAACCCACACAATTAGACAGAATAATGTATGAAAACAGTACAAGAATGGGCCCTATTCTGTCGTTCCCCCAGTTCTGTAAGGTAGCCATAAAAATAAAAGTAGCTTTCTAAGCCAATCCTTCTGTTATATCATGATATAAAAGGACTCAGGGTCCCTAGTTTTCCTAAAGGCAGGAAATACTCTGAGAGGCTATATCTAGCAGACCTTAGACAGGAAAAGTTCTAGGGCCTTACTCTTTCTCTAGGAACCAAGGATTCTTCTGAAGAATTGGTAAACAAGGTGCAAATGAGGAGAAAGAAGGTTAGCTGATAAAGAAGAGAAACACAAGGGAAAATGGCATGGACAAATTTTCATCAAACACACCAAACATAGGCATATGATATAGCACCAGATACCCAGTAGCGAAGAAAGTGCTCCATCATTCACTCCTCTCTGCAGGCCAAAGTACCCAGGAATCAGGGAGTTCGTAAATGACACTGGAGGTGGGAAGAAGGTTCTCAACAGTGCACGGGTTCAAATGTTAACAAAAATAGGAACTGTTTTCCTAAAGAAGTACACTACTCGCAATAAAATAGGCACTCAGCTACCCAAGTTAATATAAGGGGAAACAATTATAAACAACAATAATAAAATCACTCATTGTTACCTTTAGAATATACTACATGACACTTTATTAAATAAATTTCCCTTCCTAATTATATTTTATATAAGCTAATACTAATTGATTAATTTTTCCTAAGTGTATACCGTAAGGTAGTTAAAAAACTTTCTGAATTAGAGATTATGAATCTGGATTAAACATTTGCCAAATAATCAGTAAAGGAAGAGTTATATGAATACTCTCTCTAAAAGTAAAGGAATTACTCTTATTCTCCGCAGATGAAACACTGGGCACAAGGTCAGATGCACAAGGCTCTGGGCCTCTAGATCGTGACCCACATGATCTGGTATATATACCATGACTGGTATATATCACTTACCATTTAACAGACTGTGAAAGAAAGGGGCCAATAGCATTCAAGCCTGGTAGTAGAGTATCCTTGGCTTCTTCAAATGTTTCCCATTTGAAAACCCCTCCCCAGCAATTTAGTTGGGTCTGCCATGGCCACACACACCTGCCTATTTGGGTGACCCGTGTCTTTGTTCTTCATGGTCTCATATCCAGGCACCCGGGGACGTCGGCTCATCTGGAGGGCCACCAGATCCTTCATGATTGAGTTCAATGCCTCCTGTTCGTCTGCAACGAAAGAGAGCACATGGGCTACAATACTTCAATAAGGACCATAGGCAAGTGTTGAATCACTATATTGTACACCTGAAACTATTATTACACTGTATGTTAACTAACTGGAATTTAAATAAAAACTTAAAAAAAAAATACAGACCAGCAAATTACTATCACAAATTATATGACTAATACTCAGGGAGTTCTGCCCAGGTAAAATGACAAACTCTGTAACTATAATCACATGCATCTGATGTCTGAAGAGTAGGTAACTGAGGTCAGACTATGGCTACTTATATTTTAATTGATTCTTAACAAATCTCCAATCAGATTTCTGGCAGCAATATTTACCAATTCACCGGTGGCAAGGGAGGTGCTCAAACAGGGCAACTCTTCCAGTGTCAGAGAAACTCAACCAGGAAAAACAGATGAAAAGTTGCACAGTGTAGTAGGGTACTGAGTGAAAAGATGAATTCACGGAGAGCTGATTATAGGTCAGAGTCACACACAGACTTATTCTTAAAGCATCCCATGTAGAAAAGCACATTTTAAAAGGTACCAAAAAGGGCGCCTGGGTGGCTCAGTCGGTTAAGCGACTGCCTTCGGCTCAGGTCATGATCCTGGAGTCCCGGGATCGAGTCCCGCATCAGGCTCCCTGCTCGGCAGGGAGCCTGCTTCTCCCTCTCTCCCTCCCCCTGCTTGTGTTCCCTCTCTCGCTGTGTCTCCCTCTGTCAAATAAATAAATAAATAAATAGGTACCAAAAAAAAAAAAAGTACCAAACAAGGCCTCAGGTAGCTGCTTTGAACAGAAGTTGTTTTACAAGCCTAGTCTTTGAACGCCCTCCCTCCCAAATCTTTACAAGTTTATAGGCCTTCTGCTTCCCACAGGGAAGCCAAAAGGCAATTCTATTGTTTTTCTTCCCTAACTGACGAAGCAATGCATTGTCTCTGCCTTACTGGCATTACTTTTAATCCCCTTTTCTTGAAATAGCATAGAGTACTAGAATTCTCCCGTACTGAAGACAACTGGACAAAACCCAGAACCCAAACCAGCCCAATTCCATGTTTTGCAAAATTCTCCCAGGTCCTTCAAGAGATCCTCATCTACTCAAATAGCATTTGGGAGTTGAAAATAAATCTGTTGATCTGGAAAGGAATATGAAAGATGAGTTGTTACACATGTTCTGGTGACAACTGAGTCACTCGGGGACCTGGAGCACACCTTAAAAGAAGCAAGTACAAGAGACTCCACCCAGAGAGCACCTATCTTTTGTCTTTTGTCATTGGGTTCCTTGGAAATGTTCTAACACCTTGTGGAAAGAACATCATGAAGTACAGAAAGTAAATCTGTGCTATTTGCCTCTTCCCTCTTTCTAGATCAAATGTGCTCAGGTGCCCTACACACCCTCTGAGGAGGTGCAAGAAAGGAAGGAGAAGGGTGCCCATGTGGAAGTTTTTGCCTGCTCATAAAAGTAAAATCAGACTTAAAATGTGCAGGAAAAACACCAGTAGAGTAGCTTCCCATCTAATTCCATTTCAAAATATATACCAAAGTATGTTTGAGCATTGATGTAGGGCCAAAAGGATAAATAAATGGGATAGCGAATGTAAAGGAAGTGGGTATCTACAGAAAGACATGTCAGAATTAAAACACATACATCCCAAGATAAAATACACAGTCACAGTGAAAACAAAAACAAACACAAACACATACATCCCACCAATTATTTTATATTTTCTAGCGATTTCCCTGTAGGCTCCTTAAAGAAAGGGAACTTGCATGATATTTTGTTTTGTTTTGTTTTTTAACCTCCCAACCAAGATTTAAAAATTAGAGCATAACATCTAAGCTAGGAAGACTGGCTTATATATACAATATGTATAGGCTTTTATATTAAGTTGGCTTACATACTATTTAACATACGTGTGTACAATTTTGGGGCCAACTGTAGCAGTAAATTGGGATCACTATAAAGAGGATTATGACTGGGTAGGTGTTTTCTGAGGCACATCCAGTGATATTCCTAACAGGAGAACACATGGAGTTTTCAGTATCAAGGTAACCACCCTGTGAATTGGCAATTTCTGTTGTTGTCTCAACTCAGATACTGAACCTAGATGGATGTGAATATACACACAGACGCACAACACACATGCTTTTCAAGTCAAATCCATGACAAGTAGAATTACAGAATCATTTCTAATTCTATACAAGATGATGCTATTATAAGAGCTGGTTTATCAGGTTGACAAATTCAGTTTCCAGGAAGCTAACCAATTCTTGGCATTACTTCATGGATAAACTTGTTTGGTAGTTCCAGCACTGAGAACACACTAGAGGAATGGTTTGGCACTATCTCCTAAAAGTCAGGATAACTGACAGAAGGGACACAGGGTTATTGAATCTGATTTTTGTCAAAGTCGAAAACAGGTTCTTAAACTGATACTTCAAACTGAGGATGTGGATAAAGACAGGAAGTAAATCAAGTGGCTCTTTTAGGCATTTCTTCCTGGATTGAGATTTTAACTGAATTATTAACATTCTACAAAAACAAAAACAAACAAACTTTTAAAAACAAATAGCAGCTTTCTTAGAGTGCAGCAGTCATTTATATGCACTTTGAAGTCAGAAAGACCTGGATTTAAGGAGGCTTTGAACAAATCACTTATTCCCCCTAAGCCTCAGTTTCCTCATCTGTAAAATGGAGATAATA